TCGCAGGTACAGGTACAGGTCACAGGTACAGGTACATGTCAAAATACAAAACAATATTCTGTCACACAAGTTTAACTGATTTTGTTAATAATAAATTGATGAAAAAACATTGTGTTGAGTAGAAAATAAAGCATTGTATGCACCACGGGGATTTTAAGATTATAATGCCCTTCAGGCGAAATATATCCCTCGGGCCATAGGCCCTCGGGCTAGTTTCGCCTTCGGGCATTATAATCTACATAATCCCCTTGGTACATAAATAGCTATTCGGTCTAGCCAGGATTCGAACCCGGTCTACCATCAACGTTTCCCATGTAGTCCAGCGCGTTAACCCACAGGACCACCACCGTTGCCTTGCCTTATGAGATGTTTATAGATATATTAATTTATTTCGTTTCTATGTATAGGTCGCAGGTACAGGTACAGGTCACCAGAGGCGCCGACTTTTGAAAGTCCTCATGGGTGCAGAATAACTTCATAAATTTGTTTATAGGGGGAGGGTGAAGCTCGCCGTAGGCGCCGCCGAAGGCGAAACATTTTTTCTACGAGCGTGCGAGAAGTGCTTTTTTTCTGCACGCATTTAGGCACTAGTGCGGAAAAGTAAAATAATTATGCAGTGTTAAGTCACCCTGGTACTTTCATGTCCTGAAATGCGTGCGGAAAAGTACTTCTCCGGTTTCATTTTAGCCGCCTCTGTCAACTGTCAGATTGTCACTCTCAACTAATGAACTATTATTATAAAAGTACCGATACTTCGAAAAGATTATTAGGTATATCGATATTTTTTTCGATATATCGAATGTAAAATATCGATTAAAATATATCGATATAGTTTATTAGGTATTATAATTTTTTTTTTTTTGGGTTTGGTTGGCTTTGCACATAGTGCATACAGCCACTACAATCAACTTAATATAATATTTATGTAAATTATGATGTATATAATTATGTGTTACAAATAAAAATTATTAGGCAATCTCATGACCTGCCAAACGAAATTCAATATGGAAGGTCAGGTCAGACACCGTAGTCGAGTGTTTTCACAGCTATCAGACCACATACCCACCTTTACCACGTAAAACCTCCCTCCAGCACAGCCATCATACCACTACCCACCTCCACTGCAAACCTCCTTCCGTGAAGCTCCTACCCTAAAATCCCCCCACTATGAGCCTCAAACAAGATGGCCGCCATAGCAATATAATGTGTCCATCATAGCAGCTATAATAACGGATTTTAATCTGAAATTTTGGGAATTTGACCCGGGCCAATCCGTTATTATAGCAACGATGATGGACACATTATATTGCTATGGCGGCCATCTTGTTTGGGGCTCATAGTGGGGGGATTTTAGGGTAGGAGCTTCACGGAAGGGGGTTTGCAGTGGAGGTGGGTAGTGGTATGATGGCTGTAGAGGTGACGATATTATCGATAGTTTATCGATAGTATCGATATTTCAAAAAAATTCGAACAATCGAAAATTTCGATAGTTCAAAGTGCCAGTATCGATAGTCGCGGGATAATCGAATTCAATGAACTAATACTAACTTGAATTGAATAGGAAGTATTTATAGAGTTCACTGCTCCAATTTTGAATGTAACTCCAATTTTGAATGTAAAATAGGTTAGGTCAACGGGGTTTGGGGTGCACGGTACACAGGATTGACTGCACCACTGCACCCGGTGTAATCTACGATAGAAATTAGACAGAGACAAACGACAGACTCTCGAGCGGCGACTTATTAGTTTAGTTTGAATACAATAGCTCTGTTTCAATCGACATTCGAACGAACCGTTCCAGAACCAGTAATATCTAGTTGCCCACCTATTTTTCAATAAGTTGAACGTTTGACTTACATGACAAATGAATTGATCGACTGAAAATAACCGTTCTAGAACGGTTCTCATGTCGATCGGAACAGAGCTATAGGTTATTTATTTGAAGTTACCAATTTGAGTTCTTGTTTCTTTTTGGTTTTAGGTAGTTTCTAATATCAAGGTTTGATACGATAATGTTTCTTTCCATAAAAAAAAAATAAAACAATATCAATAATTTTTTGTTTGTTTCAAAGTATCGATAAATTATCGATAGTATCGATATTCACCACCATGATTATCGAAACTATCGATATTATTTTTTTATCACTATCGTCAACTCTAGATGGCTGGAGGGGGTTTTGCGTGGTAGAGGTGGGTATGTGGTCTGATAGTTGTGAAAACACTCTACTCACCGTGTTGTTTACATGGTTATTGACATAAATCAATGAAAAATTATTATTTTGTCACATTCTGGACATTTAGGTTTGACATTGGCATTGTCATATTGTCATGTTTGGCATCTACAACAATAAGGGCACTGAGCAAAAATGCTTTTTTTATGAACGTCACCACAATTTGACATGAACCGCCATATTGGAATAGATTGCCTAATTGTCTCGAATAAAAATGAAGATTCTTGAAAAAAAAAATTATCAAAACATATAGACAGGGTCACTCACTTCACGCCATAGGGTCTATCTAAATAGACGACTTTATTTACACAAACAGGGGTAATCGACCAGGTAAAAAGGATAACATAAGGATCAGTACCAAAGGATAACAAGTCCCTGAAGCTTTCTCACACACATAATATTTTGATTTCTACAAAACATCGATATATCATTACTATCCCTACCCACGCGCAAAACCAAATTTTATGGCATACAGTCACTATACGGCGCAAGCGCCAGACTTCCCGTTGTAGGCCGGACTTCCCAATTATTATCACAAAGAATAGAGATGGAGAATAGCAACATAAAGTAATAGAGCATACAACTGACTACAAATATATGAAGGACAGAATACTAATACCACTTGTATAATTCTTATACAAAGTTGTGTACATTTAAATTACATGTTACTGGATATTACCACATGGAACGGAATGAACATTTAACACGTTTGTACTTCCGTACTTCCCACGAGAGCTCCCATGGGTGCTCCGCACCCATGAGAGGTTGCTCATGGGTGCACCTGCCCCGATGCCCCCATGTAGTCGGCGCCAGTGCAGGTCACAGGTACAGGTACAGGGTGATCCAGTATAAAGTGAACACCCCCTACCTTTTCGCAAAAAAAAAATTTTTTGAAAAAATCAAGATAGCCATTTAATGTATTTTGTTTCTAGGAATTTGAAAACGTTTTTTGAAATTTAATTACATTTTTCGTTAAAGCGCTGTGACGCCAAAAGTAATTTTTTTAAATGGAATAACCTATATTCAAATCAATTTTTTGAACGCCCCCATTTTCCTCATTTCAAATATATAGTTTGTTTATCTTTATTTTAGTAATTTGGGATATATTCTCACTTTAAAATTCACATAAAAATAGCCGAAAAGGTATCATAAAACATAATAACCAGTAGTTTTATTAAAGGTAAAATTATTTAGGTTTACCTTGATACCTTTTTGGCTATTTCTATTTGAATCTTAAGATTCTTAAGTGAGAATATATTCCAAATTACTAAAATAAAGATAAACAAACTATATATATTTGAGATGAGAAAAATAAAGGCGTTTAAGAAATGGATTTAAATATAGGTTATTCCATTTAAAAAAATTACTTTTGTCGTCACAGCGCTTTAACGAAAAATCCAATCAAATTTCATAAAACGTTTTCAAATTCCTAGAAACAAAATACCCTAAATAGCTATCTTGATTTTTTCAAAAAAAAAATTTTTAGCGAAAAGGTAGGGGGTGTTCACTTTATACTGGATCACCCTGTACATGTCAAAATACAAAACAATATTCTGTCACACAAGTTTAACTGCTTTTGGTAATAATAAATTGATGAAAAAACATTGTGTTAAGTAGAAAATAAAGCATTGTATGCACCACGGGGATTTTGAGATTATAATGCCCTTCAGGCGAAATATATAGTTTCGCCTTCGGGCATTATAATCTACATAATCCCCTTGGTACATAAATAGCTATTATGCTCGCTGCAGCGTGCGATAATCGTTGATTATGATGCATGCGTGATAAAAAAATATAAAAGACCCTGTCTCTTTAGTTAGGTCGTCATTATTAGTCACTATTAAGTTAGTTGAGTTAATGTCCAATATAATTGTAACTTGTATTTTAATAGTTATTTATACACCAAGTGAGTTAAATGAATAAACATCTTAACTCACGTGATGTATACAAAATTTTATCCCATTTTGTGGAAATTTTAAAAATAAAGTACTGAGTACTATAATGGAAAAAAATATATAGGTATAGCATTCCTAGGTTTTTTCATACACACTTCTAGACTTTTCAGGCATTAAGCCAGCAACTACAATATCAGCCAAATTTTCCATTTTTGGGGGTAATCCATCATGGAATTATTCTTTTTTTAATGTTTTATGAACATTTCAGTGAATTCAACATTGACAATATGACAATACAAACAAACAATTCCGTTGTTACCAGTTGTCAAGCACATTACTGAAATTAGCCTTTTTCAATCATTTCCGATAAACTCAAATGCGACAGAAAAATGTATTAACTATAATCGCCGGAATATAAAATATTGTATGAAATTAGGATCATAAACAATCATTATGGCTCACGCCGAGTTATCAGACTCGGCTGACGCCTCGTCTGATAATATCCACGGCTAGTACCATAATGATCGTCATTATGATCCTTATAACATAAATATCTATTATATCACTGAAGTGATAAACGTCTACTTACCTTTATTGTTATGCGTTCAATAATGTCATTTTTAAACGTCAAAATGGGATAAAATAAATTAGTATTTTTTTAAAAGACCAGCGTTGATTTATGTTTTGTATGATCTACCTGTGTAATTTTAGTTTTTTACACTGATGTTTTTTAGTTCTGCTTTGTCAATGAGATGTTTTAATATTTTTTATGACAATAAAGCTGTTTTTAAATTTGAATTTGAATTAGATATCTATTGGTTAAAAAAATTAGCCATTTCACTATAATCATTTAACTAAATTTTCTTTTACTAAGGTCTGGCAAAAATCGCCGACATCAAATGCGAACAATACAGCGGCGGTAATAAGCGCAGACTGAGCTTTGGAGTTGCGGTTATCGGTTTCCCAGATTTCATTTTGCTGGACGAACCGACGAACGGCGTCGACCCCTTATCCAGGCGGAAGTTTTGGTCTCTGATAAAAAAAATCAGAGATATGAAACAAAACTCGTTTATTTTGACATCTCACAGTATGGCCGAATGTGAGGCTGTATGCAACGAGTACGTAAATTGACGTATTGTATTTGTATTTGAAATAGAAAAATGTTTTTGTAGTTTAAAAATTATGAAAGCAGGAACTATAAAAAAGGAAGGTCCAATAGCTCAACTGAAGAATGAAGTATGCGGCTTTAATGTGATGCTAAAGCTCAAACAAGGTGACTATGATAAAGGTGGAGGACCAAGCAAATCACAAATCACAACCGTTACTGAGCTGAAGGATTTTTTCCAGAAGAAGTTTCCAACTGGACAAATCAGAGACGAACACTCAGTAAGTACTCGATCCAACAAGATTAAGCAGGCTTTAGTAATAATTTTTTAGGGCATGATTCATTATTACATAGAATCTAAAGAAAAAAGGTGGTCGCAACTTTTTGGTCTGTTTGAAGACCTAAAGCAGAAATCCACATTGATTGAAGATTATAGTATAAGCGAAGCTTCTTTGGAGGATGTATTTTTGGACGTCGCCAGACATGACGATGTTGCTGAGGAGGGTGAGGCTTTAGTAGAGCACTTAAATTGTTGAGGCAGGACGATGAAAATTTAGGAAAAAATTTCTCCTATGTATCGATTGTTTCGTATAGTAGGGGCTAGCCTACAAATGGCAATGATTCGATTTTGCAAAATAATATCATTTTCGGGCTGGAAAAAATGTCGATCCCCCTCTCTGCATGTTGGATACCTATAAATCATTTGAAATATCATAAATATTTTGTTCGGAAAGGAAATGAAGTTATTAATTTGATTTATTCCAAGTATTTGTAACTGATGTGCAGACAGGGGGATTGTATCCTTTGTCATATATTGAATAAATCTACAGATAATTATTTAACTTTTCTTGCATCAAAAATGGCCAGAGCGTGTCACAAGCAAATTTTTTGGAATAACATATGAGAGATAACATAATTTCTAGACATACATTTGAAAATGAATCATTTATGAGTTCCTTGTATATATTACCTTGATATATTTTCATTCAGTTTTGTGTGTAAAAGAAAAATAATTTTCAGAAAGCATCAAAATTTTTTGTGAAGTTTTGAGATATTCTGATCTTGTTAAGTGTTTTTATCAATTTTAGGAAACCGTTGAAAAGTGAAAAAATCCTCCAAGTTTGTTTTACCCTGGCCCTGTGAAAAGTCAAAGACACTCTGAGAAATTAAATTTTCAGGACGGTGCTTCGATTCATAGGGCGTGAAAAATGAATTGAATGGGTGATTGGAAAAAGGATAAAATTCCAGTAAGCCTTACTTTTGGGAAATCAAAAAAAAAAAAACGTTTTTGCGGCGAAGCCGGCAATTTTACAAATATCATTACTATTGGCCAATTGTACACTTTGACAAAGTACATTTGATGCCAAAGTTTCACCAGTTTATACCTATCTGGTAACTAGCTACTGGTATTTGAAAGTATAAAAATTGTATCGTTTTTCCACTCAAAATGAAAATTTTATCCTTTTTCCACTCAAAATGCAAAAAAAAATTGAAAAAAAAAAAGAAAAAGACGACATTTATAAAGAAGTAGTATTTATTGAAGAAAAGCATTTCAAAAACTCAGATGCTCGATGCTCTGATATAGCGCGAAGTTCTAAATCCATGGAAGAACAACACAATTTCAGGAATATTATCCTTTTTCCATCACTCACAAATAAAATTATCATATGAAGCGGGCCGGCGATTTTATCGTTTTTGGGCTCAGCGGAAAGATAAGAGAAATTAGAATAAAATAGCTATCTCACTTTAATTCGCCATATTTTTGGAATTTTATCCTTTTTCCAATCACCCATTCAATTAATTTGTACAATTTATATAATAATTTTGTATGTATGTATGTATTGTATTTTTAAATTATATTTACTGTTGGTGATACCTAAATATTTCAGTCTGTGATACATTTTGAAGGTTAATAAACTTATCATAATGTCTAAAATTTCGGTATTTTTATTGTTGTTATCAAAAACAATTTAACTCAGACTTTATTCAAGTTTAAAGTGAGAATGAATGAGGAATCCACATTTCCATCATTATCGCAACTATTACGAAGCAAGAGTGAAACTTCGCAATGTCTAAAAGGTTTTACAGCAGGTCATACAGCGATCATGACCCCCAATACAACCCTACGACGATAAAATAGCCCTTTAATCAAATGCTTATATTACCAATAATTTTACAGAAAAATCCTCGGTATATTTAAAACTCTCGGGAACGGGTTATAAGTCGTTTTCTAATCAAGTTCATTGTTGGTACACATATATAGGACGTCAAAAGAAATTTTTCCGAAAAAAAATCGATCTTGACTGTGACCTTGATCGTGACCTTGACCAATAAAATTCACGTACATGGCAGTTTATCGTGCTGATAATTTGTATAGTGTCAAAAGGCATCTCAAATGACCTATATACCAAGTTTTACACACATCCAGAGATACGGCAACCTCGCATTCTCAGTTTGGGTGCTCGGGAATGGAGTAGAAGGCGTAGTCCGATTGAGTTCATTTTTGGTATACATATGAATCTCAAAGAGAAGATCCTCGAAAACGTAGATCCACCAAAAACGTGAAAAACCCCTTTTCAAATATCAATCATATCAAAAAAATCAAAGTCACGGCTAAAATCAATTTTTTTTTCCGGCGGCTTTTATATGTACAGGGTGCTGCAATTTGGAGTGTTTCAATAGGAAAAACACACTTCCAGACTAGATAGAGGAAAATTGACTTAAACGTCATGGAATCGATTTTTGTGAAACGTCAATTGTCAAAAACCGTATCACGATATCTTCAATGGCACCATTGATACAGGGTGATTTTCGATTTTTCCCTATTATGAAAAATGGCTATAAGTTTTTTATTTATCAATTTTTTTTATTTCTGTAAAAACATTATGGAGACACTTTTTTGTGCACAATCCAGTGGCGCACTCAGTTTTTTTTCTATATCGTTCCAATTTCGAGATACCGACCAAATTCCGATATTTTCAAATGAAACACCCTAAATATTAATAGCTCATTGGATAGCTCTGTTTTTGCTGATTTCAATGATATAAAGTTCGATAGGTTTATCTCTAACAGTTTTCGAGAAAAAAAATTATATAATTTTTTGTCGTAAGGACCAATGTGTTAGAAAAGGATTTTATATGTGTAAGGAAAAAGAGAAAGGTCTCTTTCTAACACATTGTTTCTTATGACTGAAACATATAATTTTTTTTTCTCGAAAACTGTTAGAGATAAACCTATCGAAGTTTATATCATTGAAGTCAGTAAAAACAGAGCTATCCAATGAGCTATTAATATATAGGGTGTTTCATTTGAAAATATCGGAGTTTGGTCGATATTTCGAAATCGGAACAATATAGAAAAAAACTGAGTCCGCCACTGGATTGTGCTCAAAAAAGCGTCTCCATAATGTATTTACAGAAATAAAAAAAATTGACAAATAATAAACTTATAGCCATTTTTCATAATAGGGGAAAATTGAAAATCGCCCTGTATTAATAGTACCATTGAAGATATCGCGATGCGGTTTTTGACATTCGACGTTTCTCGAAAATCAATCCCATGACATTTAAGTCAAGTCAATTTTCGTCTATCTGGTCTGGAAGTGTGTTTTTCCTGTTAAAACACTCCAAATTGCAGCACCCTGTACAGGGTGTTCCAGAATATGTTGGCAATCTCAGATAGAACACAAAAAAAAAACATGACAACTTCCTATAAAAAAAAATTCCTACGGCCCCCCCTACGAAGTTACGTGCCCCTAAAGGACGCCTCTGAAAATCGGTTTTTTGTTGATATCTTTCAAAATAGTTCGTATAATTTTTTTTTTTTTATTATGATGGATATACTAGATGATACCCCTTAAAATGGACCCTTTCAAACACACTTGGCCAATCTAGTTTGCCAAGGACGGACTAGCCTTAACACAATAATGCTATTTTTTTTACACCCTGTATGATATAGGCATAACAATAATAGTTTTAGATAGTATCAACCTTGAACTAGAAAAAAGGTAGGTACTCTTATTCGATGTCAAAAAAATGAGCTGGTTTCGAGAAAAATCTGTTTTTGTGTATTAATGGTACTTTATTAAATAATTTTTTATTACGCATGCATCATAATCAACGATTATCGCACGCTGCAGCGTGCATGAAATGATGTTTATGATGCGTCTACCTTTTCAAAGGTTTGCTATAGAAACGTTCGATCTACCTTCATTACCTAGATATTTACCTGCATACCTGCCATTTAAATTACTACTTATCAAACTTTAAAAACATTTTTGAGATTATGATGCATTCGTAATAAAAAATAGCGTATGATATGTGTTTATAAGAGGGCATTCAAAGCCCTTGCGACTTACAAAACACTCCGCTGCGCGTCGTGTTTTGAAATATGTCGCACCTGCTTTAAATGCCCTCTTATACACTTATATCATAATATACTATTTTATGTCGACTCGACATAAGATCTTTCTAATCTTGTGCATTTCATACCTATTTTAATGAAAGATTGTTCGACTCTCGAAAATGCTTCAATATTAGTCCTTATTTCGGGACAGTGAAAATTAATCCTTTCTACTAATATTTCCTCAGTGTCATTATTGCGTTAAAGCTAGTCCGTCCCTGGTAAACTAGATTGGTCAAGTGTGTTTGAGAGGGTTCATTCTAAGGGGTCTTATCTAGTAACCATCATATTAAGAGAAAAAAAAATACACCAAGTATTTTGAAAGATATCAACAAAAACCGATTTTCAGAGGCGTCCTTTAGGGGCACGTAACTTCGTAGGGGGCCCGTAGGATTTTTTTTTATAGGAAGTTGTCATGTTATTTTTTTGTGTTCTATCTAAATCCGAGAGATTGCCCACATATTCTGGAACACCCTGTACATATAAAAGCCTCCAAAACTGTGTTTTTACGTTTACAAAAATGTAGCAATATCAAGGCGTGGTACTCTGATATTTCCAATTTTTTTTTAGATTTTCAGTCGCAAGCCACAACCTATGTAGGGCCCCCCCACTAAACATATTTTCTGGGTGCGCCACTGGCTATACGTACATTAACAAACAGTTTGAATACTTTGTTGTGTATAGTATTTAAACCTGTATTTTCAATAAATCGTTGGATTATTATTTCCTTTCCGTTTGTTTTCATGATAGGTATCTTTACATCACATGAATATATCATGATGCAGGGTCGGCGCAAGCGACTTTGGCTCCCTAGGCAAAGGTACTGTCTGCCGCCCCCATCGACTGAAAATACAAATAATATGCATGACTATTTTTAAATACATGTTTTATAGTTTTATTAATGATTGTACATAGGCATACCTGACTTACACATGCATTATGCAGGACACAAAAAATCCTGTTGAGGTGCCACGCCCAAAATGCTAATTTTGTGCCAAAAATATTCATAATATAAAAAAAGTAGTTTTTGGCCGCCCGCCACCCGGTCGCACGACCCCTATACATGGCCGGATGGAACCCGGGGCTAGTGAAGTTTTAGGGGGCCTTTCATGCAAATAATATACAGGGTGTCCCACGACGTTTTTCCCAGGTAATAACTTCGGAACGCATCATCCAATATAATTGAAATTTTGAGGATGTGGGTAATTTTTTATGCCGCTTCTACCAGTTCTACCATCGTCATCCAATTTCCACATTTTCGCTTCAATTTCGGTCAAGTGACGCCAACTTTCGAATATTGAATGTAAGGTAACTCATGGTATATTATGGCATTTTACGTTAGAAAATTAAATTACAAAATCGTCAATGCTATGTTTGTTATGGCTTTGTTAAACAAAATGATAGAAAAATATGCAGTGGAACATACGATGATGAGTTCCGAAATTATCATTTGGGAAAAATCGCGTGGTACACCCTGTATATAAAAATAAACTAAATTCCTGATATAACAGTCTGACACTGCTATACTTAATATACCTATTATCTATTCACAATCCGATGTCCAAAGGTAAGGGTAAAATTCATCACCTTTCAATGCTATTTGATAGAGAAAGATGATAAATTTACCTTTACCTTTGGACTACAGATTGTGACTAGGATATACATGTTTTACCAAATTATGTCAAAATATCTTTTTTTTGGCCGATGCGGATGAAATTCGGAATATAGGTGAAAGCGGTCCAGAAAAGTTGATATTCCAAATTTCAGCCCTTTCCGACCTACCGGAGGGGTTTTGGCCCCTATCCCTCCAATTTTGGAAAAGAGCGTGTAATGATACATACACGCCCTGCATTTACATTCCCGAATTTTGAAAAATAGAAAATACCACCGGATAGAGGAGCCAAAAATACGTCGGAAATCTCTCCTGGTATTTTTCGCTCCGACGCTTCGTAAGCCTGGAAAAAGATAAAATAAATTTTGATCCTGGATTTTGGGGACCCGACACGGCGCCACTTTTTCGCTTATAACTTTGGTAATTTCGAACCGATTTTCTCGAATCAGGTTTCCTTCGAAAGAGGAATAAATTACCTACAAAACTGTTTTCTATTGATATTCCAGGTTGTTTCTGTCTCCGAGATATAAGCCGTCAAAGTCGAAATTTCTCTGAAAATGTATTGAAAGTTTTGAAGTCGATTTTCTCAAAAACGGTGCCCCGTGGAGGGGTAACTCTAATAAGCTTTTTTATAGTTCTCAATGTGATCTACAAGTTTTGCGATTAAGGTTTTCCTTTCAGGCTCTTTGTTTTCCAGTTAAGATTGAAATTTAAAAAATAAATAAATAAAGGGAATTTTTTGTGTCTAAAGGGGATCCCAAATATTTCCTAAATGGGTTCAGTTCATTTTTTTTTCTCGTTTTTTTGTTTATTTTTTTTTCAAAATATATGTTTTTCTGCGATTGACAAGAAATATCAGCATTTTTGACCGGTTGACAGGTCGCTATATTCTGGTATTCTAATTATGTTTCAATAGTTGCTAAGGAATCAATGAATAACAATACGGGAATCACTTTTCTGGCCTAGGCCGGGAAAGTGATTCTCGTACTGCTGAACAATAATTGTGGAACAAAAAGTCAAGGATTTAGCAGATATTTAACCGATCACAGAAAAAATAGTATGCGTATTTCGGTGGAAAAGCAAATTCCCTGCCTTCGGTGTTTGCCGGCATCGGCTACGCCTCGCCCGTCAACTTACACCGTCGGCCGAGAATGTGTTACTTTTCCACCTAAATACACAATATACTATTTTGCGTTCATATAAGTATATGATATTATAATAAAAGTAACATTCTATTATAAATTCTTATCAAAATTCCTGAAAATGGCCGGATCCCTGCTTGCCCCCACCAGGCGTCGGAACCATGGGGGCAATGGGGGCTTGAGCTCCCGTAGTGAATTTGCTAAAGGGGCTCCCCCATAGTGATTTTGGCATTGTATGTAGTGGGTAGGTACAAAAATATTGAGTTCCTGATCCTAACATTCCTAACTATTTATTTTTATGTCAAACTTGTGTGTTTTATGTTTTCGTTGTTCTTGCTATACCTTCTTTGACAAACAGTTGGAATATTTTTTTGTTTAGTATAGTATAGTAAATTTTAGGAACCTTAATACAAAAAGCTTAGATGACAGATACCCATTATCCAACATTACCCAACATCTATTGAACAAGCTGGGACGACCCCGTTCCCGAGAGCCCTAATCATACCAAATCCTCTATTTTGTCTACAAATGTTTTTTTTTAAATTTAATCCAAGCCAAGTCAAGCAAAATGTGGATGTAGCGATACAATAGTTGTTATTCAAAATAGAGGAAAAATTTACATCCTGAATGGAATAGTCTTATTTTGATAATATCTATAAATAAATATCTGAGTTGTATCGGTGTATTTTCAATTATCGGGAATCAATTAATAATGGCATTAATTTACTTAATGTATTGTGTAACATATTTTTATATCCTACTGAACTATTATATCCATGTAATACCTTGGTTACGATAATCATAAACAGGGTCTTAACTCTCAAGGGAGTTAAGGATTTTCATAACTCCCGCGCGCGAGTTAAGGATATCATAACTCCCAAGGGAGTTAAGGATTTCCATAACTCTCGCTTTTACCTTGAGTAGGTAAAACTTTGTAAACTTTATGAAAATAGACAAAATACAGTAAATTCAGTAGGATATAAAATTATCTATGTACCACGGGAATTATCAGGTGTTAATACCCACGGGCACAAACGTTGCTCTGGGATATTAACACCCTCATAATTCCCTTGATACATAAATAACTATTATAGGTATATCACATAACAATAAAAAAAAGTATTATTATGTGTACTGTTTTTATTTACGAATTAAATATATTTGAGTTAAGAGTTACTCTCAACAGTTTTATATCTAGAAAAGAGACTAAAGGAGCTCTACCGAAACAAAAAAAGGTAATTCAAATCAAATCAAATTCCATATTTGTAATATTTGGAGTAAATAATAATGACGCATAAATAAATATAGATAAAATCACAGACTCGACCATATAAGTACAACAATAGACTTGAAATCAATAAGGTGGGAAGTTAAAACATAATGACGTGAGCATACCAGAAATTTAATTACCACGGTCACCTGTTGTTTACCATCAGTTTTAGCGAGATTCTTTGACACGGCCAACTATACTTTTCCAACATACGCGAACCAGAAGGAAACATTTCACAATTAGTTTCAGTTTAGTTTCCCTTTGTAGTGTAGAATTTGAGTGCTCGTGAGTGATACAAAAAGACTAAAGTGAGTCTGGAACAAGTTCTACAATTTCAAAATCATCTACGTAGTGGATAAAATGTGGCCTAAAAAAAATTGTGAAAAAATCACTGTTTACAATGATAGTGGTGCTCCTTCAACGGAATACAGACATTTTATTAGACAATATAGTTCTCACAATGCCGCAACTGATTTAAAAAACAAATCAACTCCTAAGAATAGTGACAGTAAACAGCATGATTATTATGTAGACGACAATCATGTGGACACCGACAAAATAAGAGCATCTCAAACGGCAACTGATTCAAGAAATTTTTATGGTCATAGAATGGATTCAGGTGATACTCTAGTTTCCAATGTTTATGATTCTAAGGCGGTACAAAACACTATTGGCAGTTGTGGAACGGTAATTATGGATAAAACAGGCGATTCTGAAGATATTATTTATTCCAATGATCGTAATTATGGAAAAACTGGATGGAATGGACACTTTACTTATGAAGCTCCACAAAGAAATCTTTCCAAAGGAGATCCTATTGCTGTTACATCTACTTCAGTGAAAAATAAAACAGATCAATCTCCTGCTGGAAAAACTCATAGAGGATCCTCTCCTCCTACATACTACGTAGACGAAAATCACGTAGACACTAATAAAGTAAGACAATCACAAACCAATACCGATTCTAGAAATTTTTATGGACATAGAATGGATTCAGGTGATACTCTAGTTTCCAATGTCTATGATTCCAAGGCGGTGCAAAATACTATTGGCAGTAGTGGAACGGTAATTATGGATAAAACAGGCAATTCTGAAGATATTATTTATTCCAATGATCGTAATTATGGAAAAACTGATTGGAATGGACATTTTACTTATGAAGCTCCTCAAAAAAAGCAATCTAATGGATCTCCAGTAAAAAATAGTCCATCAGGTCAATCTGCATCCAGGAATCTTCCTATGAAAAGTTTTCCTCCAGATCAACCACCAAGAGGTCCATCAGACCATTCTCCTAGCAGAAACATTCCAGAACCAACTTCATCTACATACTACGTAGATGAAAACTACGTAGACACTAACAAAGCGAGACAATTGCAAAACAACACCGATTCTAGAAATTTTTACGGACATTCTGTAGATTCTAAAAACACCCTAGTTGGTAATGTGTACGATTCAACGGCCACGCAAAACACTATTGGAACATCTGGGAAAATATTCAAAGATCACATGACTGATTCTACCGATGTGATTTATTCGAACGATAGACTTTATGGTAAAACTGGATGGAATGGAAAGTTTATTTATGAGAAGCCCAAGCCTAAGGATAAACCTAGAACTTGATGCCTCAATAATGGACAAAATTTAGAAAAACTTCTGTGTTCTTTTTTTCTCGCATTTATGTTGACGTAATGAACCCACTAAGTTAAGTTAATACACAATCAAACTACCAACTACTTACCTACATATTAAATAGTTAATTGAATTTTTTAGATTTATCTTTAGTTTATTGTATATTTATTCAAAGTTATTGAGAAATTTTGATATATTCGCTAATAATTAATATCTATATCTATATTTTTCTTATACAGGGTGATAGTCTGACACATTTAAAACGTCGTCAGAAAGCCTTATTTTTCTAATTTACAAAAACGTATATATGTATTTACTTTTTTAATTATCCTGAAATTGCATCTTATAAATTATGCACTTTGTTGACAATGTTTTAACTAGTTAATAAAAGTACCTAATAAACACAAATTGATTCACGACTTTTTTGCATCTAAGTGAGGAAAAAAATCATAATTCCATCTCCGAGCCTGAGATCCATGCGTGGTTTGTTTTGTTCGATAAACACACCCTACCCAATAAATCCTGAAAGTTTGAAGTCCCTCTGATTGCTTGTACCTAGTATTTTCCAAAAGCTTCCAAAGCTAATTTAATAGAAATTTTGTATGAGTTTCTGCATTTAAGTGAGAAAAAATTCATAATTCCATTTCTGAGTCTGAGATCCATTCGCGGTTTGTTCTGTTGGATAAAAATACCCTACACAATGGATCTTGAAAGTTTGAATCCTTCTGCGATGGCTTGAATTATTTTTCAGAAGCTTTCAAAACTGATTTAATAAAAATTTTGCTTGATTTTAATATCAAAGTGAGAAAAAATTTATAATTCCATTTCTGAGATCCACTCGCGATTTATTTTCTTCGATAAGCAGACCCTAATAAATCCTGAAAGTTTGAAGTCCCTCTATGAATGCTTGAAGTATTTTTTAGAAGCTTCCAAAGGTGATTCAATAGAAATTTAACATGATTTTCATGCATCTAAGAAAAAAAAAATCATAATTCCATCTCTGAGCCTGAGATCCATACGCGGTTTGTTTTGTTCGATAAACACACCCTACTCAATAAATCCTGAAAGTTTGAAATGCCTCTGATTGCTTGCTTGAAGTATTTTTACGAAGCTTCCAATGTTGATTTAGTCCAAGAAACGGGGATCTGAAAAGAGGGTTTACCTCAACATAATTAGAAGTTAACATTTTTTCGGGGAGATCGGTCCATTTTAATATGCTAAATAACATATTAAGTTTGCGACCTTGTACTTCCATAGGGCTTTTAGTTAGGGGTGGTTTTTAGGGGTAATTTGCGGTTTATGGAGAACGCTGCTCAAAGGGATGGTCCAATAACAAAAAGTTTCAAATGATTGTTGTAGCTGAAGTTTTTTGCTATAAAAAACTCAGCGACAGCACCCCTTTATCTTCTATAGCTTTTTTTCTGCAGCCTCTTGAATAGTATCATGTTTTTGTTCAAGGTTACTGAATCAACGTTTCAACTGTTCGCGCGCATTTGATGCAGTAGCGGCCGAATACATAATCCGATTTCAATTTTTCAAACACCACATTATTGCTAATGAAATGCACTCTCCAATGCGTTTTTGTTCGAATTTTTTGCTTGAAAATTAAGCGAGCACGGACTTGCCCAATGTGCGAGGAAGTTGTAAATTGCATCGAAAACTACCCCTTCCTTGCATTCACTGTTATTGTTATTTCTAAACGGGGCCAAACATTTGGTGACAGTTTTCGACAATCGGCAGCCCATTTATTCCTCTCATAAGGCCCCAGCGGATTTTTTTTTTCATTAATTACTCAATGACTTATTGGCCAGAACATGTCGCGCGGAATTTTTTAAAAAGTCAAAAAAAATTAAAATCGTCGCACAGCGCTGAAATTTGGAACGATGCGATGGCTTTATTTATTGTTCTTATGAATATAGTGCAATTTTAATTGCTTCACATGACTGCTGCAACAATTAGAATTGCAGTATATTCATGAGAACAATAAATAAATACATCGTACCAAATTTTAGCGCTGTGCGACAATTTTAATTTTCTTTTGACTTTTTGAAAAATTCCGCGCGACGTGTTTTGGCCAATAAGTCATTGAGTATTTAACGAAAAAAAAAATCCGCTGTGGCATTTTGAGAGGAATAAATGGGCTGCCGATTGTCGAAAACTGTCACCAAATATTTGACCCCGTTTAGAAATTACAGTGAATGCAAGGAAGGGGTACCTAGTTTTCGATGCAATTTAGAACTTCCTCGCACATTAGGCAAGTCCGTGCTTGCCTAATTTTCGAGCAAAAAATTCGAACAAAAAAGCATCGGAGAGTGCATTTCATTAGCAATAATGAGGTGCTTGAAAAATTGAAATCGGATTATGCATTCGGCCGCTACTGCATCAAATTTGCGCAAACAGGCGAAACGTTGATTCAGTGACCTTGAACAAAAACATGCTACTATTCAAGACGCTGCAGAAAAAAAAAACTATAGAAGATAAAGGGGTGCTGTCGCTTAGTTTTTTATAGCAAAAAACCAGCTAAATCATTCGAAACTTTTTGCTATTGGACTATCCCTTTGAGCAGCGTTCTCCATAAACCGCAAATTACTTCTAAAAACCACCCCTAACTAAAACCCCTATGGAAGTACAAGGTCGCAAACTTAATAAGTTATTCAGCACATGAAAATGGACCAATCCCTCCCAAAAAATGTTAACTTCTAATTATTTTGAGGTGAACTTCCTTCATTGCTTGGCCTAATTATATGTATAGAAATTTTGTATGATTTTCTGCATTTAAGTGAGAAAAAATTTATAATTCCATTTCTGAGCCTGAGATCCATTCACGGTTTGTTCTCTTGGATAAAAAGACCCTACTCAATAGGTCTTGAAAGTTTGAAGCTTCCTGATTGCTTCAAGTATTTTTCAAAAGCTTCCAAAGCTGATTCAATAGAAATTTTGTTTGATTTTATCATCTAAGTGAGAAAAAATTTATAAATCCATTTCTGAATCTGAGATCCACTCTCGGTTTATTTTGTTCGATAAACAGACCCTACTCAATAAATCGTAAAAGTTTGAAGTTCCTCTGATTGCTTGAAGTATTTTTCAGAAACTTCCAAATAGTCTAGGAGGCATGCAGTGACGATTTTCGGTACTTACTTATTTTCCTAGTCAGATAACATGATGGATAGAATTGTAGTAATTCTAAGCAAAATTCATAAATATTTAGGAGGGGTTTTTCCGATGGGTTGAGGCGCCAAATGGGTTAGAACTCACCAATGCACGGACCTTTTTTTTTTTTTCAGTGATAAAAATAGCTGTACTAATGAAAAGTATACTAAAGTTATGTAAAAAAATAGTCCGGTTAATCTGTGAGTATATGGATTATACTTCTGGCAAGTGAAAAATTTAAGATCCGAAAATTTTCAGCCAGACTCACTTCCCACTATCTGAGATAAGCCAAATTGCTATTTTCATATACTTTATGTTCTATTGTACTAAATGTGAAATATTTAGCCAGACTCAAAACTTCTTGTTTTGTATCACCAAGAGAACAAATTATTTAATATAAGGAACCTGACCCAAATAAGGCTATGTACCTAATAAGGCCAGTGCCCTTTATTGCTTAATATTGAATCACATTTTCAAAAATTACAATATTATTAGAAAAAAAATCTATAATGAAAATCAAAAATTATTGCGAGGATTCCTAGCAACTCCTCATATGTCGAAAAATGGCCAACCACATATTTCATATGTCACGTTATAACTTTGAGGCTGGAACCTAATTAGTTTATACGCATGTTTATAAAGTGAATGGAGCGAATGTAATTTTTACACGGACATTTATGTTTTGAGACAGCTACAGAGTAAGTACAGAATAATAGCTTTTCTGGATTTCTAGTTACAGACTTTTTTTATCAATGTAACATGTTCCTAATAAGGCCATATGAAAAATATTCAATTGGCATCACATCACAATGTTTTTTTAAAAGAATGTGTCATAATATTACCTAAGTGATGTTTTTTGAAATGCCTGGAGTCTAACCAAGCAAAAGATGCTGCAGTTCATTTGTCCTAGTTGTATGTAGACTTATTTGGATCACCATCCCAGGACTTGGAATTATTGTTTTTTTAGGAATGCAGCAAACATATTATTTCTATTTTGTGTACTATTTTTCAAATAATAATATTTTCACAAAAAATTGTATTTATTCTAAACATTTTTTAATGGTGGCCTTATTAGAAGCATAGTGATCCAAATAAGGCCAATGATATGCATCTTTGTTTTACGCAAAAACCACCACTTATATAAAAAAATAAATAAATTGGAGTTAATATTCAAGTAATAGAAGCGAAACACTTCACATATAAGCTCTTGATTTTTATTGAGTTTGGTCGATAATGTTAGGAAAAAATAAAACTTCTTAACATTGCCTTATTCGGGACAGGTACCTTATATATTTTTAATTATCTTGGAATTGCATCTTAAGGTTTTAATTACTTAATAAAAGTACCTACCTAATAAACACAAATTGATTATCGATTTTTTTGTATCTAAATGAGGAAAAAAATCATAATTCCATTTTTGAGCCTGAGATTCACTCTCGGTTCGTTTAGTTTGATAACCAGACCTTACTTAAAAAATCCTGAAAGTTTGAAGTTTCTCTGATTGCTTGAAGTATTTTTCAGAAGTTTCCAAAGGTGATTTAATAGAAATTTTACATCATTTTATTACATTCAAGTGAGAAAAAAATCATAATTCCTGTTATGTCGGTGATGGCGTGAAGGACGAAATAAAACACTTTCCTATGATACTAATTGAAGTTTCTATTCACGATTACATAAAATATTATCGAGTCAAGAGGAACAATTCTAGTCACGTTCAAGCGTTGACAAAAGACAAAATTTTGCCCGTCATCTATTCGACGTGGAGAGTCATGTGGAACAGAGATAGGTATAATGTTCTCACTCGTTAGCTGAAGGCTCGTTTACTCTTGAACACAAAGTAGATCATGTGATACTGATCTCGGTGTACGTACACCACAACATCACCCTTCTTAGCTGATCTCGGTTCCACAACTCCCACTTTGCATAATAAATCATTTTTAAAATACAATTCACAAACATAGTGGACAACAATAAAAAATTTACAATTTTTTTACAATCTTTAAAATCACGTCATGAAATCCAAAACAATTGAAATGTTACCAGTATTAAATTTTGTATATTTCTGGCAACTTGATGTTTCTCTTTGGATGCTCGTCTATCTTTCCAGTGTCACATTTCTTAGAACCACTAGAGTCTTGTTTCACAGCCTTCATCACATTCTTGGATTCTACAATTTTAGTTCCTATATTTCTTTTATCAACAGAGTTTGCAGAATTTTCATTTACGCTAATTAAAATAACTTGATTTCGGTCTCCACATTTATTAGCAA